CTTCTCTCTTATATGGATGTGAGTCCTGGACTCTGTACTAAAGACACATCAAACAACTGGAGAAATTTCACATGCGAGCTCTCCGCTTCATCCTTGGCATTCGTTGGCAAAACCGTGTCTCCACCCTGGAGGTCTTGGATCCCTCAGAGTCCAACATTGAGTCCCTGATTATCAGAGCCCAGATGTGGTAGGTGGGACATGTCATCAGAATGGATGACCATTGTATGCCTTGCCTGTTGCTCTATAGCATACTAGAGTCTGGGAAGAGACCTTGAGGTCAACCACGCCAGCACTACAAAGATACTGTGAAGTAAACCCTATACCACTGTGACATCCAGCCAAGGGAACTAGAAGCTGCGGTTGCTGACAGAACCTGCTGGTGAGCCCTGTGCTATGAAGCCTCCACTGGCTTTGAAGACAGGCACTGCCAAAAATGGATAGAAAACTGTGAATGGCATCACAGAATAACACCCACAGTTAACAATGGACTTCCAGTGCCCCCATTGTGCTAGATTCTGCACTTCCAGACTGGGACTGCAGAGCCATCTCTGTGTCCACAGATGAACTGCCCAGCAGCGTGTCTTCCTCAAACCCGAAGGACTACCATACACAACATATATTCTGCTGAATACAATAGTTGTGATTATAAGAGAAAAACACACAGCAGCACTGTCAGAAAATATTCCTGCAGAACCTTGGCCAGCTAGTTATTTTGTGAATTGGAAAAAACTGTGGATAGCAAGTTCTGCTGCTAATTATCCTCATATCTTTTTAGTAGCATCATAACCATATTATACCACTAAAGCAGCTTTTTCTTGTCTGATGCCATCTAGATATGCTGGACTACAACTTCCATCATTTCAGCCAGGATGGTGGATATGGGCTACATTTGGAGAGTAATAAGGATGGGGAACACACCCTATAGAACAGTGTTGTCCAAACCTGGCCACTTTAAGATGAGTGGACTTCAACTCCCAGAATTCTGGCTGGCTGGTGAATTCTGGTAATTGAA